TTTTCTTTTGGATAGATGCCTAGTATTGGGATTGCTGGATCAAATAGTATTTCTATTTTTAGCTCTTTAAGGTATCTCCAAATTACTTTCCACAGGGGTTGTACTAATTTGCGGTCCCACCAGTAGCGTAAGAATGTTCCAATCTCTTCACATCCACGCCAGCATTTGTTGTTTTGGAACTTTTTGATAAAGGCTATTCTCACTGGAGTTAGGTGATATCTCATTGTGGTTTTGATTTGCATTTTCCTAATGATTAGAAATGTTGAACACTTTTTTTATATGTTTGATGGCCATTATTCTGTCTTCTTTCGAAAAGTTCAGTGGTCTCTTTTATTCCTTCCCTTATTTTCTTAGCTAATAGACTTATTGGTGTGCTTTTTGGTTTATGATCTATTTTTCTTGGGTTCACTTGTACTCTGGTCCCTAATAATTATCTTCAATTTACAGAACAGTCTAACAATATAGTTTTATTGCTGTTTATTTTAACCAGGAAATGATTATATTCTATGTGTTGGGCTATTATCTATGCTCAGAGGTATATGCCTGTATTCAGAACATATTATTAACAGAAATTTTCTCCACATGTAAACCAATCAGTATAGTTCTCTCCCACAGAGGTGTTGCTTTTATAAAAGTCTCTATTAAACTTTCATCCGCACTTATGTCAGCAATGATACACATTCTGTGTGTGCAATAACATATTCCCATGTATTCTTGCTTTACTAATAAGTCTTTTATATCTTTATAATCCTTCCACAGTTTAGCTATTATCTTAGGGTAACTATATTCTCTTATGTCTTTCATATTTCTATATCTATTTCATAAGGACTGCCATCTGCTTATGCCTGTATGATGTCTAAATTTAACTTTCTGCCTAATACTAATACTCTCATTCCTTTAAAATCTGCTCTCATTAGTACCATACACTTTATCAACACTTTTTCAAACCTCTATACAGGCATTTGGCATCTTGCTTTCAAGCCTGACTTATTTCTTCTATAATCATAGATTTCTTAGTTATCATTCTTTATATCTCCTGTAATTATTTATTTAATCCCCTGGGTTGATTGGCTCATGAAATGCAGACAAACTTTCTTTCAGTTCTTCCATTACTCAAAGTCCAAAGGGATAAAGAGGTATAGAAGAATTGGGCACCACTCTCGTGAAGAGATGTGAAGACACCTGGATAAATCCTGGGGAACGGAGACAAGGGCAAAGGTTCATTCATACTCCAATGAATACCAAAAACCAAAAAATATGGATTGTGAACTGAGTCAACTTGAGGCCATTTCTAAACTCTGGATGTTTTGATTTTTAAACTATGTGCGTTAATATTGCTGCCGACATTAAAATCAGAAACATAAAAGGGATTATGATCTTATTTTAGGAGTAATTTGACAGACTGATAATTTATAAAATAAATATTTAACAAGTAGCAAGCATGGTGCTTGCTATACAAGTCCATTTTATGTTGAGAGCTAAGGCAGGGAAAAGTTCTTCTGATTGGTAAGTAAAAAAGGTAGGGTCAGTAGTAGTGGCAGTAAAGCAAGTTCAGGGACTAGTTTTGAGAGCTCATCAACAAAAAAAGGAGGGATGATGAAGAAGCTGGTCTGAGACTGAGAAGTAGCCCTGGCACTCCTTATCTTCTTGAGGTACTCATATCTAGCTCTTGATACCAGTTTCTAGCTGTCCCTTACTGGACCAAACAGTCTTCACCAGAGGTTTTAAGCTGGTGGAGTCCCTCATTCTGGTGCCTGGTAGCCTATGGGGATGGACCTGCTAGGGAAACATGCACATTCTATTGTTATGCATGATTAGCTTCCAGAAACCCTCACCTAGAATATTGCATTTCCCCATGGGGACAGTAGTTAGATGCTGGATTGTTACTAGTGCTATCAACAAGGCATGTAATGGGCAAAATAGGTTTTTATGAGCTTAGCCACTATTTGCAATAACATTTCCAGAAAAAATAGATAATACCAAATATCCAGCAAATGAGTGTCATATCTACAATCCATTTGTAAACTGGAGAATGCTTATATAACCTTCCCATTGCATAGACAGCAGGTTGTTGTATGAACAAAACTGTTAAGTGCAGGGAGAAGTAACTTTACAGTGGAAAAACCTGGCAAACACTACCTCAACCAGGTGATCAAGATTAGCATCAGTGACCATTCATGTTGACAGCATACGTATAACAATGACATGTACCTCTGTGGTCTTCCTACCAAACACTTACTAACACCAGTGCAATTATTTAAAAAAATACATACCAGACAAGTCCCCAAAGAGGAATATTCTATGAAGTGTTTGATACGAATTCCTCAAATTATCGAGGTAATCAAAAACATGGGAGGTCAGAGATTGCCAGACCAGTAGAGGCTAAGGAGACATGACAACCAAATGCAATGTGGGATCCTGGTTGGGATCGTAGGGGTGGAAAGGGTGTGATATGCATCCTCTCCATCATAAAGGGCACAGCGGACACTCTTATAACAAAAGACAGCCGTGCAGAAATATGATTGGACAAAAAGAGTATATCTAATAGTAATAGACTGAGGGCAGTGGGGAGGAACCCAGCAAAGCCTGTCTGCCTAGGTTGTTCATGGCCTCTCTGTGCAGCATTCCTTCCTTCTGGGTCTGGGGCAGGATTCTTTCTGGAATGAAGGTCTCATGACCTATAATCAAACAAGGCAGGTCAGAGAATTTCTTTATGGCCACTTCTTACACAGAAAGGCAGCAAGATAAGACTAACATTTTTAGGTTTTATGGCCAGCTTTGGGGAAAAAGAGTTCTGGTTTCTATTAATACAACCCACCTTGGGGAAGAGGTATTCTAGTTTCTGTGGCTAGCCTTGGGGAAGAATGAGGCTGAGAAACAGGAGGGCAGAGAAGGTCAGAGAAAACATTGCTTCTGAGGCCTGCAGTTTAGGGTATCATTTTCTGAACACCAATAGGATCATGGAATAGAAAAGGCCATTAGGGAAAAACTAGTGAAATCTGAAAAAAAAAAAGTGTTTAGTTAATAATGTACCGATGTTACTTAGTTATGACAAATGTAACACAGTAATACATTAATAAGGGAAACTGGGTGAGGAGTATATAGAAATTGATCATTGCAATTTTTCTGTAAATCTAAAATTAATTAAAAAATACACAGGGTTAATTTCCTTTTCATCTATACTTTTCTAAAAATTAAGCATGTAGAAACATGATTTTTGGCTCTCATTTCCCTTTGGACACTGTGTAATAAACTCAAGCTACATCAAGGTGTCAGAAACTAAGAAAAGGGAAACAGATTCCCTTAGCTGCTAGTACCTTTCTGCCACAAGTGATGACCCAGTCTCTGATCTTTGGGTACGATGACACAACCTTTGTCCAATGGCGGGCTTTTACTCCTGGCTCTTGTTTTTGGCACTACATTAACTGATAACAACCCAGTGTCAAAGAAATACCTGTTCTCTAATTAATGCTAAAGATATACCATCATTTTTCCCTTCATACGGCATGAACAAGGGATAATGATTAGGGAAATTTTTCTCAGAGAGTCAAATGGTTTATTGTCCTCATGCTCAATCTACCAGATCAAACTTGCAGAAAGGGTTGAGAGAAATTCTCTGTGGTCCAGGTTTTAGAAATGATTTTGTTTACTTTCTTCTCTGTGCTGACCAAGCCATGTAGGCTAAAATGATGGCAGAATAACCAAAGGTTTTCTTGGCTTATATATTATATTGTTTTACCACAAGTAAATCTGTTTTTCAGCACCAGTGCTGTGCTTCTGCCATGAAGTAGCCCTTTCATTCCAATTCCAAAACCTGCTGTCCCAGCTTTGTAGAAATACCACTAGTTTACAATGCACAGTGTGAGCAGGCATCAAAATGTTGGAAAAAAGATCCCAGACCAGATGCAGAGGCTATATGCATACAAGGGGGCTGAGAAGATAACTTGTTTTATAATCACTCAGTACAAAATGAACCACAAGAGGGGGATAAAATGAAGGCTCCAAAAATGCATGTAAGAATCAATACCACCACTACCATCCATACAGACACATACACAGAATGCTTGGGAAATCTCAGGGATCTCCAGGGTCCTAGAAAAAGAGGGCAAGACTAATATTCAGACACAATGGGCAGACCAAAATAGTATTAGCACCAAGCTGAGGGAAGCCAACAGAGGACACACTCAGAAAAGGAAGCGGACATATCCAGAACAAGTTTGGCTGTTGGCTCCTACTAGAAATCACCAGTGATAATAAATGACCTGTTTACACATAGACTCATATGGATGTTCTACATAGCTCAAAGACTATTCACAAACGTTTATTGGTATTTTCCACAGAATTCAGGTCATTCCTCCATTTTTAAAACTTCACATTCAACAGTGAGGTTTTCTATAGGTAAATATATTCTCATATATTTTCTATAAAATTTTTGATATTACATATAAGTTTTAGTACATCAGTTCTAGGCGAAGATTTTATTTTCAATTCTGAAACTGACGTATTTCCTCAGAAAAAAATTATCTGAAAAAAGACTTTCAATGTTTGTTGAAAAATGTTATTTATTCAAAATATAAAATTTTATTCTGATTATTTGTTGCTTAAAGCAATTCACTCTGTAATGAAGGCTTTGTGTTCTTCCCTGAAATTTGAATTTTTCTGATTTTTAATGAAGGCTTCAGATCATTCAGGATGTTGACAGTTTTCTTCTTCATGCAAAGTCTCTGGTGTCCAATGATAAGTTGAATTCTTATAGTTCTTCTAAAATTTATTATATTCATAGGGTTTCATCCCAGTCTAACCGAGAGTTGGCTAAACTATGTGTATTTAACTAATAGTCCAAACCTGTAAGAGTTTAACAGAATATAAACTTAATTCTTACTTAAAAAAAAAAAATCCAACTGGTGAGTATCTGGAAGTGGAGAATTCAGTTCCACACAATTTTTCAGACTAGCTTCTTTGACCTTGTGCTCTATCATGTTCAACACACAGGACCCAAGTTTGCTGCAAAAGTCATCTCTACTCCATCCTAACACAGACCAGGAAGAATGTAAGGTGATTTATTTCAAGGGCCAGGATTAAATGTGATATATATCATTAGCATCACATTCGACGGTCAGCCCCATCTGGATGAACAAAAGATTGGGAGTTTTTGCCAAGCTATGAGCCTAGTGTAAAAGGAAATGGTTAAGGGAACAATTTGCCAGTCAATGTGAGATGAGTTTCTACACTGCGTATTATATAATAAGGTATCAGTTTCTTCAGGACTTCCCAAATTCATTACAGGTTATGGCTTTCTCTCTGGTATGCATTCTGGTGTGATGTACTCTAAGAGCTGCCTTACGGACAAACCTTTTCCCACATTCTTCACATTCATAGGGTTTCTCCCCTGTGTGAATTCTCTGGTGTACTCTGAGGGTTGAATTTTGGGCAAACGCTTTCCCACATTCATTACACTCATAGGGTTTCTCCCCTGTGTGAATTCTCTGGTGTGCACTAAGGTGCGACTTCTGGGAGAAAGTTTTTCCGCATTCATTACATTCATAGGATTTTACACCTGTGTGAATTCTCTGATGTACTCTGAGTGTTGAATTATGAGCAAATGGTTTCCCACATATATTACATTCATAAGGTTTCTCCCCTGTGTGAATTCTCTGATGTGCACTAACATATGACTTCTCAGAGAAAGTCTTCCCACACTGATTACATTCATAGGGTTTCTCTCCTGTGCGAGTTCTCAGATGTGCTCTGAGGTGTGATGTCTTGGAGAAAGTTTTCCCACATTCATTACATTCATAGGGTTTCTCGCCTGTGTGAATTCTGTGATGTGCCCTGAGGGCTGAATTATCTGCAAAAGTTTTCCCACATTCATTACATTCATAGGGTTTTTCCCCTGTATGAATTCTCAGATGTGCACAGAGGTGTGTTCTTTGGGAGAAAGTTTTTCCACATTCATTACACTCATAAGGTTTCTCCCCTGTGTGAATTCTTTGATGCACTATGAGAGCTGCCTTATAGACAAAAGTTTTCCCACATATGTTACATTCATAGGGTTTTTCCCCTGTGTGAATTCTCTCATGTCCACTGAGGTATGACTTCTGGGAGAAAGTTTTCCCACATTCACTACATTCATAAGGTTTTTCCCCTGTGTGAATTCTCTGATGTGTACTGAGGTGAGTCTTCTGGGAGA